CAATGGCTTTTTTTGAGACACGTCTGGTGTTCCACCCTTCATCCCAGTTCCTCTTCCTCTGTGCTTCCAGGGCTGCTCCTCCTCACTCACACATCACAATTCACCCTGATTCTCCGTTTTGTATTTTTTCTTAATGTTCTTTCCTATCTTTGCTTAACCCCAAGTTTCAGCTCAGCTCTACCAAAACACAGCCATGTTTTCTTCTCTGCCTGCCCAGCAAGGAGACATGGGGAGAGAAAAGTTACAGAGAAGTGAGACCAAAGTGCTCAGTGGCAGATGAAGGTGCCTGTGAAAGGACAGATGGAAGAGATTAGGCTGTTAAATTTAGAGAGGAGATAATGGAGGGGAGCTGGATGGAGCKACACAAAATAATGTACTGAAGGGCTCCTGTTTGCCCTTCCCTCTGCTCSAAGGACAGAGGATGCCCAGGGAGGCTGGAAGGATGGTCTGAGAGGTACTGAGGGGCAAAAGGGGCCTGGAGCAAGAGCRTCATGGCATCATTTGGGTTGGAAAAGGCYTTTAGGATYRTGGAGTCCTGGTGCAGCGGAGCTCAGCTCCAGTGCAGCTCCAGCCAGGGACCCTGAGCGGGTTTGCCTCGCTCTTCATTATCAAACACAATTGTTTGTGACCTCCAAGACCCCAGAAATGGGAAGGGAGGGAGCCCAGGCGAAGGCAAATGACACAAATGGCCACGTTCCCAACCATCAGGCTCCACAAATATCTCAGGTTTCCTTGGAGCTCTGACAGCCTTAAATCTGCTGTCAGAAAATCGCTGACTGCTCTCAGAGGCGGGGAGGGAAATCAGGCAAAGGTCTCAATTGCTCAGGTGCAATGAAAATCATCTCCCAGATCTTTCTGATCCATCAGGCAAATCCCTGGAGTGGATTCTGCAGCTGAAACAARGAGCACAGGGTTTGCTGCAGCACCAAAACTATGAAAATCCAAATTTGATTGGGCAGTTTTATTGCAATTATGGTTATTGAATAGTTTTCCATACCAGGGATTAAATTTTTCATGATATTTTGGTTCAGGACAGTTACACAGGTTAAATAATCTTCAATTTCTCCTTTCAAGAGTGAACCAGGAAGAGCCTGGCAGAGCTGAGAGGGGCCCTGGACCAGTTATTTCATCTCCCTGGACCTAAAGGGAGTCAACAAGAAAGCTGGGGAGGGAATTTGGATAAGGACCTGSAGGGACAGGACACAGGGAATGTCTTCAAAGTGCCAGAGGGCAGCGATGGATGGGATATTGGGAAGGAATTGTTCCCTGGGAGGGTGGGGAGGGGTTGGAATAGAATTCCCAGAGAAGCTGTGGCTGCCCCTGGATCCCTGGCAGTGCCCAAGGCCAGGCTGGACATTGGGGCTGGGAGCACCCTGGGGTGGTAGAAGGTGTCCCTGCCCATGAAAGGGGTGAAATGAGATGGGATTTAAGGTCTTCTGTGATTCTGTGTCAGTCCATCACAACCTCAACTTTTATTCCACACTCTCCGCATCTCTCTGGTCCCCTGTGCTCTGTCAGAGCACTCAGGACATGGCCACCTCTCCCAAGTGCTGCCAGAACATTCCCACCCCAAAATTCTTGGGTAAGTTTGAGCCCCTCGTGCAGGGGGGAAAAGAAAGACCTTGGAAAAATTACTGCTGATGAAGGGGAGAGAAGGGAATCACTGGACAGCCCAAATGCCTCCAAATCAGCCTCTCTGATCATAGACTCCTATTAGAGCTGGCAAGGATATTTTTGCTAATTAACATAGACAATAATTATAATTTTTCCCCCCAAAGTCAAGGACAAGTGGAGAAGCAAGAAAAAAAAAAAAAAATCTGCAGAGATGCAAAAGAGCCGTCTACTAAAAAMAAAAAGCTGACCCTGAAAAATGATTTGTTGTATTCACAGCTCCAAAGAGGCACAGAATAAAAGATGTAATAATAAGACTTTAAAAAAAATAAAGTTATAATAAAACACAGGAAAATTATTGCCCTGGTTATTTCAGGAACTACTTTTCAGTTGTGCTCAGSTAATGGTGGGTGGGTACCCAGGACGTGCTGAATGCTTGAACACTTCTGAAAATGTGGATTATCCTCATTTCCTGGAGAAAAATGTAGCCTGAAATGCAGGGGCTGAACGTGGCACGCAAAAGGTGACAGACCATGACAAGGAGAGAGCTTGGAAATAACAGCCCRATGACAGCCTTGGCTCCTGCTCCTCTGGAGACAGAGGGAAAGGGGAGGTGCAGTCAGGAGAAACTTAATGGGCTGCAGACAAGGCTTCTGAGAAACTAAAGTCTCTTAAAAATAATCAGAATTGGCTTTGGGAGAAATTCAATCAGACAGACAGAAAAATAGGCGAGAGATTTTAGATGTGATTTAATGTTCAATGGCACCAAACTGAGCTGGGAACAACAGGGCCAAGGGGATGGCAAAGGGGGTGGCACTGGCACCAGACCTGTTCAATGGCACTGAGGTGCCAGGAGAAGCTAAAGGACACTGGAGATACAACTGAAGGAGAAGGAGCCTCTCTCCAGCACAAATAATTATCAAAAGCCCCTAAGAAATTAAAAATATGGGCAGGAAAATGGATGAATCAGTTTGGAGCTGACCAAATTAAGGCTGGCAGAAAAAAGAAGGAGGGAAACAGGTCAGGGCAGAGCTGGTTGGAAGGATCCAGGACAGATTTGGGAGAAAGACAGGGAATGAGGGGAGCCAGGTGCTGTCTGAATGTGGGGCCTTTCTCTGAACACTCTGCAGTCCAGAGAGCAGGAAMAACACAGACACAGGCTGGGGATGGAAKGGTGATSCCTTAGGATTTCAGTTTCYCTATTTCCATGTCTCTGTACCCCTGGAATTCTTCAGTGTTTAACTCCAGACTCCACAGACAGTGCTGAGCTCCTGCTCTCCCATTTTTACACAAAACAATTCCTCTGCAGCCCCAAACTCAAGGACACCTTCCTGTGCCAGGCCCCAAGAGATGGAAACAACAGAGAATTGGGGGAGCCAAGTTGGAGTTTTTGACTGCATTGGCT